ATAGAAAGAGATGATGAATGCTTCAGAATGGAAACATGTGACCACTTGAGAGAGGAATATTTCAAGGAAAAACTTGAAGAGAAAACTAAATATGAAGAATCGAGTAAGAATTACGATGAGATCGAAGATGATTCTGATGAGACTGATAATGAAGAAATAGAATATGTTCAGGAAAAATTTGAACTGTTTGATTCAACATAAACTGAAAAAAGAGTCGTGATTCTATCTATTGTGAAACCTCCTGAACTCGAAATGAAAACTCTTCCAAAACATCTGAAATATGCATTTTTAGGGGAACTGTCAACATTACCCATTATCGTATCCTCAGATCTAAATGAGCTACAAGAACAAAAATTACTGGATACGCTAAAGAAATACAAGAGAGTTTTTGGTTGGACTTTGGCTGATGTCAATGGAATTTGCCCTTTTATTTGTATACACAGAATTTTACTGGATGATGAACATAAACCTAGAGTAATCCACATAGGAGACTGAACCCAATGATAAAGAAGTAGTAAAGAAAGATATTTTAAAGTGGTTAGATGTCGGAATCATATATCATATTTTTTATAGTGTTTGGGTAAGTCCAATTCATTGTGTTCCTAAGAAAGGAGAAGTGAATACTGACATAAATGAGAAGAATGAAGTAATATCAACAAGACAAGTCACTGGTTGACGAATATGTATTGATTAAAGAAAACTAAATGCTGTCACCAGGAAAGATCACTTTCCTTTGCCTTTCCTAGACCAAATGTTAGACAGACTTGTTGGGCATAAGATATACCGGTTATCATCAAATACATATTTCTCCTGAAGATCAAGAGAAAACTATATTTAGTAGCCTGTATGGAACACTTGCTTTCAGAAGAATATCTTTTGGTTATGTAACGCACCTGCAACATTTCAAAGATGTATGATGTTAATATTCAACAATTTGATAGATGATGGAATAGAAGTGTTTATGAACGATTTCTCAGTATTTGGAGACTCATTTAATGTATGTCTAAGTCACCTTGAAAAAATTTTAGAGATATGCGAAAAAACAAACTTATTCTTAAACTATGAGAAATATCAATTTATGGTTGCAGGAGGAATTGTAATTGGACATAAAATATCTGAAAATGACATGGAAGTAGACCCTGCAAATATCCAAATTATAGAAAAATTACCACCTCCTACCACAGTGAGAGGGGTAAGAAGCTTCTTGGGACATGTTGGATTCTACAGGCGATATATCAAAGATTTTAAAAAAATAACTAAGCCTCTATGACAACTTTTGAAAAAAGACAGAAAGTTTGATTTCAACGAAGAATGTTTAAAGGCTTTAGACTCATTAAAGGAAAAATCAATCGTTGCTCCTATAATAGTTTCACCCGATTGGAAAAAATCATTTGAATTAATATGTGATGCAAGCGATTATGATATTGGAGTTCAAAGTGATATCTACGCAAGCAAAACTCTCACTGATGCTCAAATTAACTACACTACCACAGAAAGAGAGTTACTAGCTATTATTTATGCCTTTGAAAAATTCATATCATACTTGATTAGAGCTAAATGTATTGTACATACGGATCATTCTGCTATAAAATATTAATGCAAAAGAAGAATGTTAAACATAGACTAATTCGATGGATACTCTTAATGCAAGAATTTGATTTAGTGATAGTCGATAGAAAAAGGATTGATAACCAAATAGCTGATCATCTATCTAGACTCGAACCACATAAATTGTCTGAATTCGAAAAAGAGAAGCGAAACTTTCTCTGATGAACAATTGTATAACATCAATATCGAAAATTCACCGTGGTATGTTGATATTGTGTATTACATTGTGAGTAATATTCTGCCCCTTGATTTGACAACGCAACAACTGAAAAAATTTATTTATGCGCCAAATCTTATTATTGGGACGATCATTATTTATACAAGCAATGTAAATATCTTATTATTAGGAGATGTGTACCTTATGAGGAGACTGAACAAATTATTCGAAGATGTCATGATTCTGAATTCAGAAGACATTTTGGAATTGATAAAACTGCACATAAGATTTTACAATCTGGATTTTTTTGGCTTACGATTTTTATAAATATTTATAGATTCATCAAATTCTGTGATCGATGTCAAAGAGTAGGCAATATATCTAAAAGAAATGAAATACCTCTAAATTTTACATTTTAAGTTAAATTTTTTTATGCTTGAGGATTAGATTTCATGGGACCATTTATTTCTTCATTTAAAAATTTATATATATTAATTGCTGTGGGTTATGTATCTAAATGGATTGAAGCACTAGTTTTACTAAAATGTGATGCTAGAAGTGTTTCAAGATTTTTAATGAAAAATATTTTCACAAGATATGGAATGCCTAGAATAATTATCACTGATGAAGGATCTCATTTTAAGAATAACCTGATTCAGAGATTGGTTGCAAAATACAATATTATGCATAGAATCTCTACAGCTTATCATCCTCAAACTAATGGCTTAGTTGAAGTATCTAATAGTGAAATCAAAAAAAAATTGGAAAAAGCCATTAATCCTAATAAACTAGATTGGTCTGCTCGACTGGAAAAAGTCATTAATCCCGATAAAGTCGCGGTCAAGTTTTTGTATATTTGGAAGCTGTCATATTGTTAAGGTGGAGCCCAGTAGAGAAATTAAATATAAAAAAAGGAAACCTATAACTGTTCCCGCCTCTTGTTGCTTGTGCAAATAAGGAAGGATAGGGTCCCGGCTTTATAATTATTGCTTCTGCGGGATAGGAGGCGTGAAGAAAAGATTCCTACACTTCTCTTATTAATTGTTGAATTTGGTGGGGCATAAGTATAAGGAACAGCAGTTATTTTGCTGTTTTTTTTCTTCTTCTATTACTTACGGTGAAGAGAGAAGAGAGTGGAAGAAGGGATCGCAACTCCCTCTAGCAGCCGAACTTCAGGCATCGCAAGTGGCTTTCTCCTTTGCAGTTTTCGTTTGTGGCTTGCGGGAGAAGCAGAGAGTGATTGGAAGGCTTGTCTTCCTGGTTTGTTTTTTCTTCTTCGGTGGGGCTCTCGTGTAGAGAGAGAAGAAGAAAGAAGTTCTTTCTTGTAAGTCTTCGTGATCGTATGAATTCCTCATATAGTAAAATTTTCTGCAAATCTGTAGACGTAGGTGTGAATTTTCTCGTTCCAAACTTTTATTTTCTTGCCATTGACTTTTTGCACAACACATATCATTAAGTTAAGGTATCTGAGTGTATAACAACCACTAACGTTTTCCTGAATATACTAAATCAGGATAAAATTCATAGTCTTATTAATTGATATGGTTATATACACTTATTATATAGTCCTGGTGTCAAGCTAAGCGCCAAATAATAGCAACTGTCACTCCTTATAAACACAATATTATTACCTTTGGAACCACGGTAAATTATCACATATAAGTTATGTCTTTTATGTAAGATATAATTTATAAATAAATAAATGAAGTGTTCCATAATCCAATAATTTGAATATCTTAAGTAAACTGATTTATGCACAGAACACTTGGCTAGCCTAGGAATAACTTATATGTTTTGATAAATCTGATTAGTTATAAACTTCATTCGATAACTTTATAAATTTCAATATGTTTTTACTTGATTATCCTATCTTAAAAGATTAGAAATTGTATGGGGATGACATTATGATTAAATTTTAGTGATCTACGTTAACCCTAAATCCTCCATAGATTATCTTTATTTAACTTACTTAAATTGAAAATATATTGGATTAAAATAATTAAGACACAAGTTAACCATAGAATTAAATTTATCATTTATTATCATATCTGTAATTTAACTTAATTATGGTATTAAAATCTTCATAAGTGATTCGATATCTCGGGGCTCATCTTTTTTTTATATCAAGTTTAAAATATTTATATGATAACGCGTTAGTATAACGATATGAAGTAAATCGAATCACTTCATAAAACGGTATGCTATATTTCGTCAATTGCATTACTAGGTTTATAACAACATTAGTATAACTGGTATATATAAATTATAGCAATTGAAAATACCTCTTATATATACATATTGTATATTAATTGCTATTATTCGCAGGTCATACATTTCATATCGTACTAATTAACGATATGAAGTTTAAATAAAATTGATAAATTTTATTGAACGTATTTACAAGTTTTGTTTTAATAAAGTTTTACGATAACAATTTTTATAATAAACACAAGTAATGTTAACCTATTAAAATGAAGTATGTACTAACTAATAATTATATTAATATATATTAAAGCAAACACAAAGTTGATCATACAATTGTATGGTTTTACGAATCTACATGAAACGAAAATTGTGCAACCGTTTTTATCCATAAATCACTTCTCTTATATATATTTGAATTTGTTTAGAGATATATTGAACATTCTGTGTTATTATTAAGTCATAATTCATAAATGCTGAAGGTTTATTTTACTACCTTACTGAAAAATGCATAAGGCCTGATTTACGACTTTTATGCCTAATAAGCGTTTATATGGTCATTAATGTGGATAAACCCTAATATAAATTAACACATATACTTACGGGTTGTAATAATTATTAAGCACATAACTCAATATTTGTTTTGGGTAACATTTATAGATATGTGGATCTAATCAATTATATATACAACAAATATATCCAAGTAATTTACATAAACTACAATTTTGTTAATTATACGACCCGAAAATAAACCTTCAGCATTTATATTAACATACAATGGTCAACTCCTTATATCAAAATATATTATGTTGTCGGGCAAGTAAAATATTATTATTGCAAATAAAGATTCTTTTCTTACATACATTAAATTCCTCTTAGTAGCACTATTACCCAAATTGTTAATGAGATATTATGGAGTCCAACCCAATATCTCATAACTGAAAGCTGAAACTCTAAAATAGTTTAAAACTAATATGACATGCATAACCCAAACAAAGAAACCCTAAAGCTAAAACTCTCAAATAGTTTAAAACTAACATGAGCATTGATAAAACTGTCGGACAGTGTACACAGTCTGAATTATAGATAGAGCCATGAAAAATGAATCGTCTAAAAAGGTGAAGACCCAAGGATTCTTAAGATGTGTTGAGAATGAGGTGAAGTCCCAATTCTGAAGATATGTCTGAACAAGGATCGCCCTCGCCGCCCTCCGCCAGTGCATCCTTTTATTACAGTAACTATTCAGCCTACTATTCACATCGACCGGTATATCAACTGTGTTAACAGTCAAAGTTGCTCCCTTTTTAATCCTGTTAAACAGGGTGACTATATTTTCATCATAGCCCACCCACCCCATAATAATCTTTTCAGTCCTTAACAAAGCAACATTGTCGATAGATTTGATGAGTCCATCCATGAAAAAGACGTACGTTGTCACTTCGTTGGTTGGAGCCATATGCAAGTGCTCGAAGGACATGAGATTGAACAGGATTGACTCAGTGTTGTCATCAATGTCTAGCGGCGGTAGTGATAGAACGTCGTCATTAAAACTTGTGTCTCTAAAGGACTTAGTGTTGCTCTTAAGGAATGATATTTCAGCATTTCTGAGTTCTGTAGCTGATTGTAAATTCTTCACATTGCTCGGAAGGTACTCTCCCGCACTTGTGAAGATCTTTCCGTAAAGATCCAAGATGTGACAGCTACTTTCGGTTAGCCTCCTCAAGACTTGGTCAGTTAACCCATAAGCAGATAAATCCAAAAAGATGTAGAAATTTTTTATTAGAGAACTTATATCTACAATCTGCTATGATAAAGTTAAGTCAAATGAATGATTAAACATACAGAATCGTAAAGTTAGATAAATTAATTAATAAGAAGATTACCCCCGAACCATCCACAGCTGCCAAAATAGTGAGGGCTAAAAATGAAATCTGGTTCTTGAAGAGTAACTTGTCTTGTTTGAGATCTGAAAGCAAAAAAAATTTTGATTTTCTCATAGCTCCAAAAACAGAATCGTAAAGGTCGTATTCGCTCCCTTCCCCTGCGACGATCCTCTTTTCGGCGAGCATGACCTTTAAGGTGAAGCAGTCGTCGACGATCATTCTCTTAAGGAAGCAGTCTTCCTTATTGTTACAGTAGTCAAGGACGTCGTAAGAAGCGAGGAGACGTGGTTTCACATCTCTAATGATGAAGAGTACATCTTTGGGAGTTCTGGAGGCTTTACCGATGCGGCGGAGGAATTGAAGAAAGGCACGATGTTTGTGTTGCTCAATGCAGAGGGTATCGTCATGACAGTACCAGCCAAAATAGAGAAAAATTATTGCATACATATACCGCATGCAGAGATGCATGCAGTGTCCGATCCTGACCGTAGATCACGGTGATCTACGGTTAGGATGCAATTAGAATTTTTTTGAAAAAAAAAAATTTTAAGTGGGGCCCACCTTGCATACACACAACGCATGCAAAGATGCATGTGGTGTCCAATAATGGTTGTAGATCACGGTGATCTAAGGTCATAATGTATTTCGATTGGCCCAACTTAAATTTTTTTTTTTTTCAAAAAAATTTTGATTGCATCCTGACCGTAGATCACCGTGATCTACGCTTGATGTACTGTCAGGATCGGACACCGCATGCATCTCTGCATGCGGTATATGTATGCAATAATTTTTCCGCCACTATAAGGAAATTGGATGAGATGCTATAGGCAGTTTTGCTCATCCAAAAAGATTGTCGCTTCCTATGAAACGGTTACCAAGGCTTTGCAGAAGAGTTACGGTTTATGTAAGAACAAAGAAAAAGTAGTTGTTCTCTATTACCTGTTCCTTTCGGGCGTGAAGAGTGCAGGTGTAAAAGGCGGAGATTTCCTTGGCTTCAAAACAGATGAATTAAAATAAAAAAGGAATTGCAACCTTTCTTTTTTATTTTTGTTTGGCGTGAGGCTTAGTGAGAAGAAGACTAAAAGACAGAGAGAACAAAAAAAGTTTTTTTTTTATTCGTATTTCATTCTTCCTTTACGGCGGAGGAGGAAGCCTGCAGCAGAAAAAGCCGGCAGCATCGATGAAGAAACAACGGTAAAGGAATACATCAATTTTGTAATTTCTTGAAATTGAGATAAGTGTTTCTTGTAAATTGAAGCATTGTGGTGTAAATTTCTTCAAATAGTAAAATCCTAAACTCCGTGGATGTAGGCAAATTGACGAATCAACGTAAATCTGTCTGTCCTTTTGCTTTCTCTCCGTTGATTTTTGCACAACAGCAAAACTGCCTATAGCATCTCATCCAATTTTCTTCTAGTGGCGGAAAAATTATTGCATACATATACCGCATGCAGAGATGCATGCGGTGCATGCGGTGTCTGATCCAGACCGTAAATCACGGTGATCTACGGTCAGGATGCAATCAAAATTTTTTTGAAAAAAAAATTTTTAAGTTGGGCCCATCGAAATACATCATGAGCGTAGATCACCGTGATCTACGGTCAGGATCGGACACCGCATGCATCTTTGCATACGGTGTATGTATACAAGGTGGGCCCCACTTTAAATGTTTTTTTCAAAAAAATTTTGATTGCATTCTGACCGTAGATCACCGTGATCTACGGTCAGGATCGGATACCGCATGCATCTCTACATGCGACATATGTATGCAATAATTATTCTCTATTTTGGCTGTTTTTGGCTGGTACTGTCATGACGATACCCTCTGCATTGAGCAACACAAACATCGTGCCTTTCTTCAATTCCTCCGCCGCATCGGTAAAGCCTCCAGAACTCCCAAAGATGTACTCTTCATCATTAGAGATGTGAAACCACGTCTCCTCGCTTCCTACGACGTCCTTGACGGCTGTAACAATAAGGAGGACTGCTTCCTTAAGAGAATGATCGTCGACGGCTACTTCGCCTTAAAGGTCATGCTCGCGGAAAAGAGGGTCGCCGCAGGGGAAGAGAGCGAATACGACCCTTACGATTCAGTTTTTGGAGCTATGAGAAAACCAAATTTTTTTTTACTTTCAGGTCTCAAACGAAACATGTTACTCCTCGAGAACCACATCCCGTTTTTAGCCCTCACTATTTTGGCAGTTATGGATGGTTCGGGGGTAACCTTCTTATTAATTAACTTATCTAACTTTACAATTTTGTATGTTTAGTCAACCATTTGACTTAACTTTATCATAGCAGATTGTAGATATGAGTTCTCTAATAAAAAATTTCTACATCTCTTCTGATTTATCTGTTTAGGGGTTAACTGACCAAGTCTTGAGGAGGCAAACCGAAACTAGCTGTCACATCTTGGATCTTTACAGAAAGATATTCACAAGTGCGGGAGAGTACCTTTCGAGCAATGTGAAGAATTTACAATCATCTACAGAACTCAAAACTGCTAGAGTATCATTCCGTAAGAGCAACACTAAGTCCTTTAGAAACACAAGTTTCAATGACGACGTTTTATCACTGTTGTCGCTAGAAATTGATGACAACACTGAGTCAATCCTGCTTAATCTCATGGCCTTCGAGCACTTGCATATGGCTCCAGCCAACGAAGTGACAGCGTACGTCTTTTTCATGGATGGGCTCATCAAATCTGTCGACGATGTTGCTTTGTTGAGGACTGAAAAGATTATTATGGGGTGGGTGGGCTATGATGGAAATATAGTCACCCTGTTTAACAGGATTAAAAAGGGAGCAACTTTGACTGTTAACACAGTTGATATACCGGTCGATGTGAATAGTAGGCTGAATAGTTACTGTAATAAAAGGATGCACTGGCGGAGGGTGATCCTTGTTCAGACATATCTTCAAAATTGGGACTTCACCTCATTCTCAACATATCTTAAGAATCCTTGGGTCTTCACCTTTCTAGGCGGTTCATTTTTCATGGCTCTATCTATAATTCAGATTGTGTACGCTGTCCGACAGTTTTATCAATGCTCATGTTAGTTTTAAACTATTTGAGAGTTTTAGCTTTAGGGTTTCTTTGTTTGGGTTATGCATGTCATATTAGTTTTAAACTATTTTAGAGTTTCAGCTTTCAGTTATGAGACATTGGGTTGGACTCCATAGTATCTCATTAACAATTTGAGTAATAATGTTACTAAGAAGAATTTAAGGTCTGTAAGAAAATAATCTTTATATGTAATAATTATATTTTATTTGCCCGACGACATAATATATTTTGATATAAGGAGTTGACCATTGTATGTTAATATAAATGCTGAAGGTTTATTTTCGGGTTTTATAATTAACAAAATTATAGTTTATGTAAATTACTTGGGGGATCTTGTAAAGATCGAGGCTAGCATGAGCTGGGATGCCCTCACAGTCCTTTACCAAGTTGAGATAGTTTTTAGGGCAGGCATCATTCCATAGGTGGTTCATCAGGAGCTTCGACACCATCAAGGCTCCCTCGACATAACTTTTGAAAAGGGACAAGTTACAATGGATGTAGACAGCTTAATTAAATTTTGATAGTTTGAAGGAGAAGGTGACTCGGGCATCAACATTGGCATTATCGGACTTAGTAAGTTGTTCGTGGTGGAATGTAACACCTCACACTCGATCCACTTCTTAGAAAGTCAAATTCTTTCTATTTTTAATTATTTGTGCCTAGTACTTGCGGTTATGCTTGATGATCTCCTTTCCCACATTTTCGTGTAACTTTGAACCTCTTGCACCCTCTTCTCAACATCCTCACTAATCTCTGATGTCGTAAGGAGTGATACTAAGTTAAGTGAAGTAAGTGTGTTGGGCTCATACAGGATCTCAAATAGAATGTGCCACTTAGTCTGACTCACAAACTTGTTGTAAGTAAATTCGGCTCAGGCTAGGATCATGACCCACTACTCAATATTCTTCCCCGCAAAGCACCTCAGAAGATTCCCCATACTTTTGTTCATCACCTCTGTCTGAATGTCTGTCTCTAGACGAGCTACTTAACTGAATTGAAGTGCCAACCTTCCCATATGATGTTTTCTTTGGTTAGGGTTCGATTTTTTGCTTCAATTTTTCTATCGTTGGCATCTTTCTCCCTTGCTAGGGTTGTATCTAAGAACAGGTGGAGCTCCGACTATATCTTGCTCCAAGGAGGTGGTTATGTCCTCGTATTCCCCCCCTTTTCCCTCCTACTTGCAGTCGTCTATTACCCGACCGCTCGACCCCCTACCCATAGCTGACCGTCCTCACCCACATCTGCGACCTCTCATTTTCCCTCCTACCTATAGTCGGCAACTCTCAAGTCTCCACAGGCCCCTATCCTCTACCTACAACCTGCCTGACCCCTTCAAACACCCTGCCACCACCTCCCTGCTGCAGCCATCCCAGCATAACCAATTGCCGCCCACCTCCCTGCTATCTGACAACCAACCATAGCAGTCCTTGCTGCCTTCCGACCATCTCACCACTTCCATGCAGGCTTTTCCTCAAACCGCAGCACCACCAACCTCAACCTAAGCCCTTGTTGAGTTTGTGTCATATCTTTTGTTGTTTCTAATTTTAAGTGTCTTTAGTTGTGATCACTATTAGACTTCAGTAATGAAAGTTGTATTTCCGTTATCATTAGGATTAACCCCAGTATTAGTACCTTACTTTAATTTTTAACCCCGGTTACAACAAACAAATAATTTGCAATACATAAAGAAGCTTGGCCGCTACAAAAGAGCGGAACCCCAGTCTCTTCCTTCAAACAATAGGATTAATTCAGATGATCCTGAAGTAGAACTATAAACAGCATCATTGCAACAAAATTAATGACAGACTTTCATAACTTCTCCATCAACATTTAATTGGTAGCATGCACCATTGAATGAAATCCCACGCTAATTGATAACATTATTAAGGATTAAATATTTTTGGAACCATTTGCTTTAAGAAAATGGGCCATTTACAAACATACCAGCCAAGTTCTATGCATTTTACATATCTAACACTTAAACTTTACATTTTTACATTCACACCAGCCAAATCTTTCATATTATATCACAATACCATCATTTTAGCTTTACTTTTTACATTTACACCAGCCAAATCTTTCATATCATATTAAAAATTCAACCATTCTAACTTTTAGAAAGTAAAACACGCCTTTTTATGCATATATGTAAGGTGGCATGCATGTAAAAATTAAAATTTTAGGTGTTAGATATGTAAATGCATAGGAATTTAGTGGTATGTATGTAAATCTTCCTAAAAAATTTTTGAAACATAAGAGGGACCACAAACAAAAGTAATGCACACTTTCTGGTAATGTAGGAGACAGAATACCTGGAGAACTATGGGCACTTCTGACAAAATTTGGGGGTATGCCCTGAGAGTATGGATCCCTGCACATTAAGGCAGTTGATCTGAACTCAAACCAGATAAATTATGTACCAAAATTCCATATAAATAAAATGTGCTACAGATGCAACATAATAGAAGTTTTACCAATTTGAAGGGCCGCCAATAAATGAATCAGAATACTTTCTGATGAAGTCGATGTTTTTTTTGTTAGATAGAGCAGTTCCTTTTGGAATGCTATCATTTTCTGTATCAACGATATTTTTTTATTCCTCTTTGATTTTTTGAGCTTGATGTCAGGTACACTAATATCAGATGCCACCAATGAAGTATGGCGTTTAGCTTTCCTAAGTGCTCTTGCAATGTTGTATGAATCCACCTAAAACAGGTCAAAGCAAGAAGCGAAATCGTTATATATATATATATATATAACACATAAATTTAATGTATCATATACATTTAGGACAAATTTGCCAGTGTAGCTAAATGACACAATTATTCAGAAAACTCCTGATAAATTCCATAAATTTAATGTATAAAAACCTCATAAGTTGTTGTGGAGGATGGAGAATACCGCTTTTGGGTCACCAATACAAAGCATGCCTTCAATTTTTCACAAATCGAAAGTAAATATAGAATGATCTAATTGTAAGTAATCCCACGGATAAAACAAAAAAGATCGCCTGAATAAGATTACCTTTGAGATAGATTTTACTTTGAATTAAAAGTAAAAGTCTACTTATAATACAATATTTATGCGGATGATAATAGTTCCACGCATAGATAAAAACTCTTCCAATGCTACAATGCACATGAACCTTCCCCATTAGGGCAGACACATAATCGGTGTTAATGGAGCTAACCCTTTAGGCCAAATGCTCTTCATGTTATATCTATTTTTTCCATAAAACACTAGGCATATGCTAGTCCAAAACTAAACAATAATGCAATGCTTATATTTATTTCCAATAATATACTTCCCTTGTCTTCTTTTGTGGAACTAGGTAAAATCTTCAAATTTGAGAATCCTTGGTTCCCTCTATACAAGTGTAAAATCAGAATAGCAAATTTTACATACGTAGCACACAACTCTCATGTATTTACATATCTCACACACTCATACTTTCATATTTACATACAAAGCATTTTGGTGCTTTAAACCTATGATATTAAAGATTCGAGTGTTATGTATAAATACGAAAGTTTAGGTGTGACATATATAATTCAAAAGAATTGTGTGCTATGACACGCGAGCGTCCCACCACGATGCTGGACAATGCAAGAGTTGTCTTCTGAGGACTCGGTCAATCTTCTTGGGCTATTCCTAGTTATCCTATTATTAGATATTTACTTTTGTGGGAATCTAGGGTTATTTTTGTTGTGAGTTATTCAAAACAGCCACCAGCATCTTCGTTTTCTCATCTAGGATTGTACCTAAAGATCGAATGGTGCTCCGGTTGTATCTCACTCCCACAATGGTGATTAACTTTATCTATCCTTCCTCCACATTCTTCCCTCTGTTGCCACTGTTGCCTTCCCTACTACAGCCGCCCAAAAAAAAGCATCATTTGTTCCTCCAACCGCCAAACATCCTCTTCACCATCTTGTCGTTGTTTTAGCCACCAAAATTCTCCCTACCACCTAGCTACTGTTCCAACCACCCTGATCTGCCTCCCTGCAGCCTCGTTGTTGTTTCCACATTCCAGAACCAATAGTCCACCCTGCTAATACCTTTTAGAGCCCGCATTCCACCTTTTCACCACCCCCAAATAGCAAATTGCTATTGTTTTGATCTAACTAGTTGTTGTTCAGCAGCTCCCAAACCGCAAACCCAAAATCACCTTGTTGTTGCTATTGCTATTGCTACCTAGTAGCACCCCTACCATCACTTTAGCTCCTTACCACCCTTCCAACCCCCATAACCGACCACCACCACCCATGGGTCGCCCTGGTGTGAATTTGTGTTGTGATGTTGCTATTTCCTATTTTTGTTTGTGTGGTTGTAATTCCCTATTTGAATTCAACAATAATATTTGACTTTCTTATTGTCGTTTGGTTAACTCTGGTATCATTTGGTATCAGAATCAATCTAACCCTCTCTTATCATAGGGTTACCAATCTCCCAAAACCCCACGCCCTTGCTGATTTTTCAAATCAGCCCCCAAAAAAAAATTTCCCCAGGGGCCAATCCTATACACCCCCTTTCACCTCTCAAATATAAACTCTCACCACGCCACCGAGGAGACAATTGTCGAAAACCTGATCGGGAGGAGATGCCATAATGTTAGTTATGAGAGATTCGTAACAAGATGTCCAAGAGAATTTCTATGGAAAATATGCAGCGGAAAATTCTCCAACTGCAACAGAGGTTTGTTCCCTTCGATTGATGACAATCTGGAAGGGTCACCCGTACCCACAACAACAACTCACCAGATCTAAGGAATAAAGTGAATCCCATTCCACCAGACAAATTCTAGGGATGAAGTTCCACTACCCCAATGATTTTGCAGGAAAAATAAGAGGAGCCGGGATCTTGATGTAAATCTGAATTCACTCAAATTTGATGGACGTGGAGATATCACAGAGAATTCATCGAATGGCTTCAGGCAGTGAAACGTGTGTTTGAATACCATGATAATCCATCGGACATAATGGTAAAGCTAATCGTCATCAAGTTAAAGAAGTCTTTGTTGACGTGGTAAGAAAATTTGAAGCACCAATGCCAACATTAGGGAAAAGGAAAAATCAATACCTGGTTCAAGATAAAAAGAAAGATGCAACACAATTACCTACCCGCACATTATAGGAAGTACGATATCTTGGAGAATCACTAGTCACAACATCATCACCGAGCGACTACCTCATCTTACAAACAGAGTTCAACCCAAGATCAAGCATCAAAAAACAACCAATGGGACACCTAAGTTGACTCAACCATATGAGGAAATCGAACAGAGTGGAGAAAAGGTGGAGAGCCAATATTCCCAAATTCATCCCCGCCAATAAATGCTTTAAGTTTCACGGTCTAATTGCCCAAATAGAAGTGTGATCTCTTTCACTAAGTAGAGAACAATAGAGTCACAGGAGAGGATGAAACCTCCAAAGAGAGGTCTCAACTTTCAGCCGACAAAAAAGAGACGGCGGCGATTCAAGCGAAACCGATAAGAGATACTCCACTAGGATTAACAATAGTTGTTTTAGAAGATAGTGAGTCAGAGGTAATTAGCGTTCATCAAAGTTTATGGATTTGGAGACATGAACTACCTTTTTTGCTGGCAATAACAGAAGCATTACGGACATTGGTGGTCCAAGAGAGTCATAAGTTCGAGCAACTGACGCCAAACATGGTAATTCTAGAAAAAATAATTTCAGGATTTTCAAACATACATTCTATCTCTTAAGTTGCCACTGCTTAGGGAATCTAATATGTAAGAGAAGAGAAGGTTTTGAGCTACTTCTGGACAACTATATGAAGTAATATTGGTATATTAAAATTCAGTCTAGTTTAACAACACCCCCACAATCAAATGGCCAGACGGGAACGCTGAACTGTAGCTTTGAATATTCCTTACGTGTTTTGTTGGAAAGAACATCCGATGGTGGAGCCAAGTCCTTCCAGAGAAAAAGAAGCCTCTCCTAGTGGTTTTCATTGAGAGTTTCCCAGTTTGCGCTACTTTCGTTCTAGAGTTAACTCCTCCAAACAAAATTGGTTATCATATACATGCAGGTGAGTAAGACAAGTAGAAGAAGCAAGTTACAGAATTAATCAACAGTCGCCGACGTCTCTATTTTTCCCGTCTAGGGTTGTATCCAAGGGTGGAGTGGTGCTCTAACTGTATCTCGCTCCTACAGTAGTGATTATTCTCATCTATCCTTCCTTTACATCCCTATATTGCCTTCCCTGCTGCAGCCTCCCTGAAAACAGCTTCATTTGATGTTTCCTGCAGCAGCCAACCATCCTCCTTGCAGCCTTGCTGCTGTTTCAGCGAGCAGAATCATCTCCCTACCACCTAACTACTGTTCCAGCCACCCTGAACCGCCTCACCTCAGCCTAGCTGTTGTTCAACAAGCCGTCCACCCTGCTACTACCTCACATAACCTGCATTCCACCATCCTGCAGCCCCAAACAGCAATTTTTTGCTGCTTTGATCTACCTGCCTGCTGTCCAACTGCTCCGCACTTGCTGCCACTCCCAAACTGCAACCCCAAAACCGCTTGTTGTTGCTACTGCCACCCACCAGCGCTCCTACCATCATCCCAGCCTCTTACTGCCCTTCCAACCCCCATAACCGACCACCACCACTCCTAAATCGACCCCCTAGTGTGAGTTTGGGTGTGTTGGTGGTGTTATTTCCTATTTCCGTTTGTGTGGTTCTAATTTTCTATTTGAATTCAGCAATAATATTTGGTTTTCATATTCTTATTTGTTTAGCTCCGGAACCACTATGTATGTAAATGCTCATCAAAATAATAGCACTGATTCAACAGAATAAAGGGTATTCTGCATTAAGACATCGGTCTCACCGCATTTATAATTTTATCAGTTATCTCCCCAGTTTTTGAAGCTGCAAGCCGCAAACAATGTGTGATAACGTTAGCTGAGACACTATCTCCTCCAGCTTTTTGCACGACACAAACATCTCCATTTGAGTTCAATGTAGTGGTCATCCGACCCCCCATGATAGCCTCTTCCTTATGAGTTGGATCAATAACCTGCAGAGCACAATACCAAAGAAAAAACAAAAGAAAAAATATGAACAAACAGAAATAAGATAGTTAGGGGCCGTTTGAGATCACTTCTATTTTTTAATTTCTTTATTTTATTTTATTTTGTTTATCTTTTGATTTAAATTAAAACATATTTGTTTATATAGTTTTTTTTTTAAACATTCAACACATATTTTATATGTTTTAAGTATTTTTAAAAACAAATAATTTTTTAAAAAATAAAAAATTATATATTTTTAAGAACACTCAAAATATCATTTAATTGTTTTGAGTGTTTTTATTAACAAGTATTTTTGTTTTAAAAGTAAAAAATAAAAACATATAAAAAATCATATCAAGGAAGCATGTTTTTAAAAATAAAAGAAACAATAAAAATAAAAACAAAAAATAAAAGTAATACCAAACGAGCCCTTAGCAATTAAGAATTGAAACAATGCATTTAGGCAATCATAACATAGCATCACCTTCATTGAAGAAAGCAAACATTACTGCAACAGGAAAATGATGTATCATCAAAGGAAGTGGTTCCCTAACCTGGAAAGATCATGAAAATAAATAAGAAAATAAAATGTTCGTTGAGATGTAATAAACCTAAAATAACAGGCACAGCTTAAGAAAAATATAAATTTCCATAAAAACAGTGAATTTGTGCAATTCAAAAAAAAAACACATTTTAAAGATTGCATAGATCCAATTGAATATGTAATTCGTGAACTAGAAATTCAATTATACCGGTGGATAGAAACCTCAGGATCATGAATGACAACATCCTGACCATTTTCGCCTCCCAACGTACATTCAGACTTTCGATAGGTCAAGAGAGCAGCCAGGGCAGCAATATTGGCAGTGTCAATGAGGTTCCTGTTAGTGAACCAATGAAGATGTAATCGATGATAGCTACAAACAATGCTCATAAAGGCAAGGCGGCAAGAAAATGAGCTGTAATCAGTCCTAAACTGTTATAAAAAAAAGTACTGAATGAGAAAATATAGGGAAATTTACAAACATTCCACATAATTTTTGTGTATTTACATATCTAACACCCAAAGTTTGATATTTACCCTCATAACACCGTTGTGTCAAAAATTTATGATTGAAGAGGTTTATTTCACTTTTAAAAAGATGGTGATTGTGGTATTTTTGATTTGCTATTCAATATTTAAGTGGCATGCTTGTCAATATAATAGTAGACGTTAGACATGTAAATACATAAGAATTGTATGGTATTTATGTAAATGCCCCAAAAATATATTCTTGCTAAGCACAAGGAAATCAATTACCTCAGACCACGATCTATTAATCGCCCAAGTTCAATTGCAAACTCCCCAGGCCGCCCGGGCTCAAAAGCGGGATCAGCCATTGGTGAAAATTCAGTAAATATTGCTAGTGTCCCTTCATTGGGTCGGTCCCTATAAGGTTGGACAACTTGACCACTGACAAAACCAATAACATGCGCCTCACCAAGCGGACCCTCTGATGAACCATCTTCCCTGCAAATTAAAACAATTTTGTTTAGAAAATATTTGACCTGATATTCCTAAAACATTTAAAAAAATTTTAAATACAACCCCTCAATTCTTATGTATTTACATATCTAACACCTAAACTTCAATTTTTAGATACATGACACTTCCTTAACGCATGCGAGGTCGATTACTTCATATTTCGCAATTTAAAGGTTCAAATGGTGGTATTTTTTATGTGATATGAAAGACTTGGGTGATATAAAAGTAAAGTAAAAGTTTAGGTGATAGATATGTAAATACATAAGAAATGGGTGGTATGTATGTAAATACCCCAACATTTAAATAAAGGAGCGGTCAATGTTAAAAATTTCTATCAACACTTTTTAGCATATTTCCATTCATTTATGCAAATTTAATCATTCAAACTATGGTATATACAAATCAAGTAGGCTCACAAGCCAGCTCGATCTCAACTCGTTCATGAACTCAAATGAGGCAAGCTTATCAAGCTAGAAGATCGAGCTTTTGTTAAGATTATTGCTCAAATATTATCTGAGTTTTTATTTTGAGCATAACAAAGCTCAAGCCTTTTGCTTGTCAAGAACTTGATTAAATCCCACATAATAATAAATCGAATTCCCGTCCGAAGTCCAATTCCATATGCTTTCTACAATGATTCTCATGAACTCCTCTTTTTCTTCAAAATTCACAAGTCTCACAAACTCCTTTTCAACTTCAAATTTTAATGGTAACTTCAGTCCGTTCTCCACAAGTACTCATCACAACTTCCTTGGGATCTCATCATTGATGCCTTCTCCAAGCTAGCTCCCATCGCAACTTTGATGTTAAACAAGAAGGCCGCAGCATAAATCTGATGTTTCACAATACAACATCGATGCTTAGCAGTGGAAACCTGATTTATCTATGTGACAAGTTTTGAAGATACCATAAAGTTGGAGCTATCATCATGCAAGGAGTTCATCATCAATATGAAGTACAGGAAAAGTAATCACAATCAATCTATGAAAATTTTCCTATTTAAAAATTATTATGCTAGTATTATCGTTATAGAAAGAGTTCATTATCATCACGATTATCATTTAGACTTCAGAAGAAGCCCTTCAATTTTTTATTCAAATATAGAAAGTTTAAAAAAAAAAAATTGTACCATCACTACATTCAATCAGAGGAACATTAAAAAAAAAAATTTTATTAGGATCTATTTCTAATAAAAAATGGCTGAATGAGGCTTTGAATGCATTATAATCAAAGATCTATTCAATTAAGCAAGGTGGCCATCAATTATGTAATCAAATGGTAAAGATTTAAATTTTTGGATAATTATATGCATAGCACTCAAACATTTTTATTTACAAAAATCGCACCCAGTTCATTTTTTTTAACTACCGAACTGGTGCATTTACTCGTGCCACGATCAAATAGAATTTGATAAAACTTAAAAATATGGGTTGGGTTTTATCATGAATTTTGATATTAGAATGAGAAATAAAAAATGGCTGAATGAGGATGCTAGATTTTTAAATAGTCATGTTTCAAGTGCTGGGTATGTAAATGTCCCATAAATATTTTTCTTTGCAAAATATGTAATAATGAGTATTTTAATGCTTATAAATCTGATGTGAGTTGTATTAGAAAATCATAATAGGATGAAATAATATGATTTTGTTTTTATGCAATAAACTGTGAAACTTTGTGGCAATTCCCTGTAAGATTCATTGTTGAGTTCTCTAGAAATATTATCTGTATCTTCTTTTAATATTAATATATTCATTGAATGATAATATATATCCCATACTTATATATTTTTTATGTTATCATGGATAACCCACCTTAGCGCTAACATTCTCTTGAGATGCATATGTCCACCGAGGACGAAGACACGAAGGCAGAACTGGGGCAGACTAGTATGTATCCTAGCCAATCCAAGAATTTAACCCGATAGGGCAAGCTAGCCCCCCTTAAGGAAGTAAAATGGGAGTAAAATGGGAGAATAAGCTTTAATTGATACATACCTACACACATATACACCTTTAATTGATTTAAAAGTTAATTAAGGAAGTAAAATGGGAGAATAAGCTTTAAAGAGATCTTTTAATAAAAAGATAAGTAATTACATTTTTAAATTACAGTAATATTTCTTATTTCAAATATATTTCTGCTTAAAGCTTTCACTATTATGTCTGGTATCAATGAAATTAAATTACATAAAATTCTTCATATTGCTAGTCACAAGGTATGCAGGTTAAATGCTATTGCTTTAATAATTGTATAATAGTTTATTTTAAAAAGATATTATATTATTGTATGACCCTAATATTCTAGTAAAGATATATGTGTTAGCCCAAGGGCTAATTTATTAAAAAAGTAAAGGTACAGATAGGTTGGATGGGATGGCCCAAAATGGCACCCTATAACCCGGTATATAACACGAACCAAGGTCCCAAGAAATACATATATACCCAAAAAGATTAAAACGTAAACATGAAAATCAACGCCAAAAAGTCTGCCAACAATCGCAGATTCAGGTAGCTTAAAAACGACCCAATGTAGCATTATCTCTACTTCAGGTTCAAGGAAGGGAACCAGCTAACAAATGGTTAAGTTTACTGTCATTACCCGAAACAACCAATGTATCATCCATTAAATTCCTGAGTTCTAGTAGGCCTCCATTCTTTTTCTTCTTCTTGGATGTGTAAATCTGTCATTCCTTATCCAAAGATTGGCTCATCTGATCAGTGTGTTGGTCCAAAGTTTGTCGGGCTGTATAGACCGTTGCACGTCATGAGCCCCTTGTGTCTGACTAACAGTAACTACTTGCCAGATTTGATGAGGTGGCAGAGCTGTAGTAGAAAGATTGTCAACCGTTACATCAATGATAGGTTCTAGGGAAGATGAAATATGAAATGTCTCCTCTACCCTCACGAACAAAGGTTCCACGGGAGGAATCAGAGGACCTACATCTTGAGCATGTGTAGGCTGAGTATTTGACATTTTACCAGCGGGGATAGTGGAAGCTTCAGCAACGTCGGCCAGTGGGCTAGATGGTACGGTTACCACAATGTGATTAGGGTCAAGGATATCCTTGTGATGATCATTAATGTCACTAACTTGGAGCAAATTAAGAGGGGGAATTTGTACCTCTGGCTGAGCACTTTGCTTTTTAGGTTTTAGATGGGGTGTAAGTGATGACATTGAAAATTGGAGTGGTAGAACATACGACAATTCGAGCAATACGAAGCGAAATGCTCAATAACTACATTTTGTCAATATCCTTGATGTTGTAGAGCGGTTTAAGTGATGTCCCTTTCAACAAGCACTCTGGCTTCTAAAAAAACGTGAAAGATTAAAAGTAGGAACGTCCGTTTTGAGTGGCTTACAATAGGCTAAGGCTATAGAATACAACATTTCTTGAGTAAATAATGAAATTTCAAGCCAAGGAGGAGAATCTAGATCGGAATAGTTGGTGGCTCCGTCTGTGGGTTAAAATCCACATACCATTTCAAAATTTTTATTGCTCTGTCATCAATCCAAACTAATCTTCTAGCAAAAAAGCGTGTGTAATTCTCTTCATTGTTAGGTTGAATAAGAATTTGCCGCCCATCTAAAAGTCTAATTTTTCATTTCCTAACAAGGTGCATAAATTCAAATTCCTTACGAATAAGCTCCATTTTGAGATGACCATAAAAAAAATTTCCGACCAAATTCAGACGACATGAGGAAGCAAGCTGATTACATTTGGCTTCAGTAAAAAAGATGATTGGTTTCTCATTCTTCCTACCGAATTTCTTGATGTAACAGAACTCGCCCCCTCCTCCAATGCAAAGGAAGGCGGAAAAAAACACAATTTAGGAGTACTTGTGGCGTGAACACCCGCAAGGGCAACAGCATAAGTTCTGTCTGAAGCCATCACCGGTTGAAGCAGGAGGCAAGGCGTTGACGGGCAGTGAAAAATTAACAATTAGAGCAACTGCAGCAAGAAGAGGGAGGAAACCAACTGCAGCAAGAAGAGGGAGGAAGCGAAAAACGAAGCTACAACCCGCGTGGAGGGAGCGAAGGTCTGAGGCTTGTCGAAACGGAGAAACAAGTCGAATGACAATTAGGGCACCTGCAGCAGAAAGAGGAAGCGAAATCAAAGCTTCAAACCCTAGCCGAAAGTGCAGCTTTCACACCGAACCCTAGTCGAAGGAAACAGCGACGTTCAGCCCGCATGGAGGGAGCAAAGGTCTGCGGCACTGTCGAACGGAGAAGGAGAGTCGTAGTTGTGAGTTCAGCGTGCGCCGAAGCAAACTGTCGCGTCGAATCGGTCTTCGCTGAAAACCTAAATCGAAGGAAACCTCATATATATATACATATGGAACACATACTCTTTAATATATATATATATATATATATATATATATATCACATTATTACTTAACCTTTAGAATTTTAATAAATGTGCACATATCAGTTGATTTCATTCATATAAATGTAATAAAATTGCATTTACTCATCAGTAGATAGAGGTAAAGTATTTTATAAGGAAACAATGCAGTGTATATATGAACTTATATGTGCATGTTAAGAGGAGTCCACAACCTTATAGTACAGGCAAGGAGAGTCAGTGTACCCGCCCGTTAATGTTATCCTACCACCCTAGACAATTGTGATGTTTGGATTTCTAGTCGTTGTGCCAACAGAAAAAAATCGGTCATGAGTGAAGTCACCTTTCCACCTTAGATCACAAGCAGCTGTGTCGATGAAATAATATCGATTAAAAAGTGTGTTAGGTTATGTTTTGACAATGTTCCTAAGACAGATGTAAATATTAATATCATGAATTAAAAATAAATATAAAGATTAAACATTAAATAATACAGTTAAATTTAATGCATATCAAAATATAAGTTTATTATATTAATTAAATGTCATTGACACATACATTAGATTAATATAAGATTTTTATAAAAATATGAAACATCAGCTTGCATATTATTTTATTTTGCTTAGGTTAATATAGTTTAAAAATGTGATTGCTCCTAAGTTATCTTAAATAACTAATTATATTGTTTTAATATTTCTTTCAGGTTTAAGCTTTTAAATAAGATGAACGCTAGGGAAGCTAACATGTGCAAAAGAAGAGGTTATCAACCAGAAAGGTAACTTTTATTTGTTAACTAAATCATTTCCTTAAACGGCTCCTTCAATTAATTCTATTACATTAAATTGTTAGTGATAGAATTAGAAATATATAAAATTTAACTCAATTGTCCAACCATTTGTTTCTGACTTGATTAATTCCAAGCCTCGAACTGAATCATAACAAAAGTTGTTTAAGAGTCAAAGTTTAGATTAAACAACATGAATTTTTATGAAAGTTTTACTCTGATAATTGATTTAAGTTATAAATAATAGAAATTAAAATTTTAATCGAGTCTACTATTTTATTTAATTATTATTTCAAAATTATGGATGATTGGGAGAAAGAGGTCAAGGATGATAATGTTGAATTTGATATACTCTAAGATGTCACAGTCAATGATGATGCATTTATTGATGATGAATGTTGTAACTCAGTTGATTAAGAATTATTAATCTCAAGCTAGTGGCAGTGGAGGAGGATCAATGGATAAGTACTTGAAGCTCTTTCACGATATCAAATCACCTTTATTTTTTGGAACATGAGAGCCAGAGGAAGCTAAAAACTGGCTGACGAGGGTGGAAAAAATTAAAAATGGTATGGTATGTCCACCTGAGAGGAGAGTTGCTCATATGTTGGATTTATTATATTTGTTTTGTTCACTTAACAAGAACTAAATTTTACGCCCTATTTGAGATCACTTTTGGTTTATGTTTTTTATTTTTAAAAATAAAAAACAGAAAACAAACCCAAAAGTAGCGTTTGTTTATTTATTTATTTATTTTGGTTTAAAAATATATTTTTTGGAGCATTACCAAGGCAAGTCTCCACCGCCCGCCGCAAGCCTCCACATCCTGCTGCTGGTAGTCACCCACCGCTCACCGCAGTACGTCGTCGATTCATCGCTACCCTTAGTTTGCCCACCTCGCACCCACCACCCGCCTGTCGGTCGGTCGCCGCCACTAGGCCTGTGCGTTGGGTAGGTGGCCTGACGGGCTAGCCATAAGCCAGTTAAGAATGGGCGAGCTTGGCAAAAAATAGAAATTTTGCGAGCCTGACTCAGCCAGAGCCTGGCAAACCGGCCCGAACAATTTTGCAACTAATCTCCTCTTTATCCTATTCAGTCAACAAAACTCATCAAGATTTCACTTCTCTTGCAGATTTATCAATGATAAACTATAAAGCTCTCCCAGTTCAATATGATTGATTTTCTCCTTCCCCATCTCAAGGTTTTGATCTTCAAGGCTTCATAATATATTTACAAATCCAACTCCTTCTGTTGTGTCAAAGAAGCAAGAGAACCATGCACCAAAATTTGAGACTGTTTTTTTATTCACTTGCAAGGTCAACAACAGCAGACTTGATGCATCTTGCATTTATCGGTTCATTGTTAAGCTTCCATTTCAATCAATATTTCTCGTAAAAAAATGAATTTTCTTTTTAAGTCCCCTGAGCCTGTCCCGGCCCGACATATAGTGTGAGCAGGCTTGGCTATCTGTTTTTTAATAGAAACCGGGCCCAAGCCCGCCGGCGGGCGGGGGCCGCTGGTAGCTGCTGCGCATCGCGGTCGGCCCTTGCAAGCTGCAACTACCGCTCGGCTCCCACCGTCACCCGCTGCCCTCCCGCCCACTGGTAATGTTTTGTGTTAGGTGGAGCAAGGAAGATGTTGTATACGCTATGGGAGGCAGAGCTTAATACCATAGCGCACGTGGACTCAATCGCTTTAAAAAAATATTTTTTTTTCCTATAAAAAAAATAAAAAAATACTCAGTCAAACATGTTTTGTATTCTTTTTTTCTTAACATTAAATCGTCAAAGTACCAAACGAGTTTTCTAAAAATAGAAAACAGAAAACAAAACAGAGTAAAAACAAAAAAAAATTGAAAACAATAGAAAGTGATCCAAAACAGACCCTTAGTTTATGTTTAAATTGCAAAATAATTAGCTAGTATGAAGTTCATGAATTTCGAGAACAAAATTATTATAGAATGTGAGAATGTAGTAAATGAAAAAAAATATTAATTACAAAAAAACATATTTAACCTAAAAAATGGATCGATTTGAGCAATAGCCTCAACATTTTTTATTTATGGAGACGAGTATCTCACCCAGCGAAATATCAAACCAGACGAAGGAACAAGAGAAACACAAGAGATCAAGAGTGAGAAGCAGAGAAATGGAAAGCATCTTGTGAGAAGGAAGAAGCAGAAGGAACTTACAAGCAGAGCTGCGGAGTGAGAGGAGGAAGTATCATGCCCTCGCCAATTGAAAAGGGGAATCGGCCTCATTGTTTGCAGTAGATCTGCAAGGTTGTAGGTGTGTCAAAGCCACTTGCAGGAGACAAAACTAGAACGTGCGCAAGAAGAGGTCCAATGAGAAATTTGCTTCCACAAAGATTGTTTGTGAGTGAAGGAAGACTGGAGGAAGGATAATAGAGTCATCATTCGCGTTCACGGGAGGTGAAGTCATGCCCTAATCGAAGGAGGCGGCGGCGTCGAGTGTGAGTAAGAGGAAACCAAATCTCGAATGCAAAAGAAGAGGAGAAAGAAGTAGAAGCAAGCTCACCATGCGGTCAATCAACGCTCGAGGGAAGAAGAAGAGGGAGAAGGCAGCTCATCGTGAGAGGAAGAGCCTAAGATTTAGGGTCTGTTTGGGGCAGCTGCAGCTTATCCAGTTTCTGCTGATAAGCAGCTTATCCTGATAATCTGCCGATGACCAGCTGATCCGAATAAGCTGTAGTGCGTCTGGAAAACAGCTGATTCTGTAAATTGATCATTCTGCTCCTGTTCTGAATAAGTAGTTTAACTGTTTGGTTAGCGTGTTTTGTAAACAGCTTATTTGCAATTTTTTTTAGTTGAATAAATAATTTGTGTAGCAGAATGTTATTTTTTCAAATGTCAAAAAATGAAAATGCAGAAAAATTTAATAATATTTATATAACTTAAAAAAGTTTTGATTATATCAAATAAGCACAGTGACATATACGAAAGTGAAATACACATTCACATACTAATATGGATTATAATAAGATCCCAAAAAAAAAAACATGTTAAAATGACAAGGAAAAATATGACAATATTGACTTTAAAATGTAAAATCACATCACGATGAATGTTGCCCAGTTCTGATACCTCAAAACTCCACAAATTTCACCGCGGGCACCTATAAAACTGCCTCCCGAACCAAATCTCTCATATCACATTAAATATACCCCTATTTTAATTTTTAAAAAGTGAAATACATCTTTTCATGCCTACGCAATGCGACATATATGTAAAAATTTAATTTTAGATGTTAGATATGTAATTACAAAAAGAATTGAGTTGTATGTATGTAAATCTTCCAATCCTTTTATGCTTCCCATAGGGGGGTTCCTCAATTGGAGAATTATCAACTTCTATTGTAACATTGTCTAAGCTTATTTTGTAGCGAGTTCCTATCTAGCACAAGATTGGTAGGATAAAAGGGTGTTTGTTCAAAACTGAAAAACTGAACAGAATTAAGCTCATTTGGTTGATTCAGTTTGGTTTTAAAATAAAATATTCATTTTTTTTTCATTTTAAATATTCATTTTTTTTTGTTTTAGATTCGACCTTAATAATCATTAAATCAAAGAAACTAAAAAATTGAATAATATCAAGATTAGGAAAATAATTTCATTTGAATACAAAATAAACTGAGCATATGATATGTTTATTTTGTTTCAGGTTGAAATTTTAAAATTTAAAGAGATTGTGAGGAGATAAGAAAGATTAATGAATTTTTTAATTTTGAAATAGTCTTAATCTTTAATTACTTTAGGTCAAATAATAATTTTAGCTGAGTCCTTTGATCGAGTAATTTGCCACCAAATTGGCCGATTAAACTAATCTATATTTCAATTTTGTTTGGTTTTAGCAAAAAAATTGTCAGTTTTTGTATTTTGGATTTCAATTTCACTTATTTTGAGCAAATTTCTTAACCGATCCATCCAAATTAATCGATTGCAGTCCCCTAATCAGATAGAAATTAACGAGATTACCATTTAGTCATGCAGTGGTAAACGAGCACTGATTCCTTCAATTTCAACAAAGACTATAACTATGTCACAATAAGAAAAATGGAGTTCATTGATTCATTCATTGTTGCTCACATTACTGCACCAAATATCAAGTTAGTTAAAGAGAATATTAGCTTCAAACTACATCACAATGCATGTTTTTATGGGAATTTATGCATTTTATTGTGTTTCAAACTTATTATAAATCGTTCAATTTGTAATGTATATTATGTAATTGACTAGGTCATGTTGCTCCAATAAAGAGCCCTTGAATCTTCCTTTAGACCTAGTTAATAACTGATGAATACAACTTCCATCTTATAAATTTTTTAACTGTGTTCTAAAAAGTTTTGGGTTTGTTAGGTGCTTCCCTCATACTATAAGAGTTTTAAGAGACTTTTGAAGTAGGACACTTATCCTCAATAAATTCCATTCCCATCTTTGATTTCAACAAATTCCATTCCATTGCATGCAAAGAACTCCAAAACTATAGCCACCATTCTTCATACCCGCCACTCCATCGCTGGTGGTAATAAATGGGCAAAATTTTCAACAAAGAAATGCGATGTCAACCAAGATAATGTTTAAACTGATGGATAACAAGAGGTTTGAGCACTAGACTGGATTGATATATGATTCAGGTAATGCATTTCCTTCAAACAAATGAGGTGTATGTCTCTAGACTCGAGAGTAAATTTTGGGGACTTCTGAAAAGAAAGAAAGAAACTCATGGAAACATCTCACTAGAAGCACCACAAACTCAAAAAACACCCAACGCTTCCCTTATAACCCCTCCTAATGAAGAACAGTCCGAACTAAACTTTCTTGGGCACATTCCAATCTGCACCACAAAGAACTTGTCAATATCTACTTGACAGCTCTGGACTATTTTACATTAGGGTCTCATCATGATTGTGACATTCATGAAACAGTAGTGAACCAAGAACAGAAATTTAATACCATAGCCTCTCATGTCTACAAGAAGACCAAGGATTACCTTAAAAACTAGTAATTAAATCTATGCTTCCAAAGGATATTCAAACCAAAATAATATAACAAATCCATATGAATAAATTTTTCCAACCAAGCAATGCAAATTTCTCCATTTCAAATAAACAGATACCTAGCGCAAAGAAATACAACAAAACATAGAACAGCAAAACCACAACAACAACAGCCAAAGCTTCCTACAATCTCAAATACAAGCTACTGAAATCAAAAAAAATAATTAATACAAAAAGTAATGATCTTAGAGTTTCATAAAAATGGCAACAATATATATTGAAATAAGAAATTATTTATCATAATCACATAATGGATCTAATCAGGCGCACACCTTGCATGGCCTCCCCTTAATCACGATATAACCATTCTTCCGAATGGTTCCTGCCTGTTGCGGATAAGTCTTCGAAGCTCCGGCATCCGCTTTCGACTCAAAGTGATGCTCCTCGGCAGACATATTTCCTGCTAGAAATCGCCAAAACAATCCACAGATTGGTAGAGAAAAAAAACCCTAAACGAACCTAAATCGAGTGGAGCCAATTTGAATTTTACGACATATGAGAAGAAAACGAAATCAACTCGGATGAGAGAGCGGAGCGTTACCAGTTTGAAGAGAGGAGCGGTGGAGAAGCCGAAGATGGCGGCGAGGGACTGCAGAGGCTTCAGATTTAGGAGACAGAACAGTGCCCTTTGTCGGAATTCATATTACCTCAGAGGAAAGCGAACGAAGGAGTGCCGAAGGAGGAAGAGGCAGAAGGAGTGCCGATGAAGGAAGAGGCAGAAGCAAGGAGTGCCGATGAAGGAAGAAGCAGAAGCAATGTCGAAGGAAGAACGAACCTGCGGCACTGGGAGCTTCCTTTATTCCCGAATCGCGAACGAAGGAAGGGGCAGCAGAGTAAGTGCGGGTTAAACGCGATAAAGAAACGCGGACCGCGTGTAATGCAAAATAGCAATGATAAATGCATTTCTAATGCATGAAACAAATTTACGCCGCCGCCACAGTTATAAGCTGCCCAAACCTCAAACGAGTCATTAGCGTGTAGCCAAAGAGGATAAAGTATCTAAGATTTTATTAATACTATTTAATATAATAGAAATTATATGTTTTATTTGCTAAATGCTAACAATAGGTTTAACTTAATCGAATATTAAAGGCATAAGATTAGAGATTGAATCAAATAGAATTGTAAGGGGAAAAGAAGATCTGGTGCAAAGAGAAACAAACCAAGTCTTTTAAGGTAAGAATTTATATATTTACTTATATATCGTTTTTAATTGTATGTCATTAGATAAATTTTAAGTTTTCATGAGTAGAATTAATGATAATTTTGATTCAAAAGCTATTTGAAAGAAAAAAAATATTTTAAAGAAAAAAATTAGGTGTTAGTCATGGAAAAGAAGTGGGAGAATAAGCTTTAAAGATGACTTTTAAGGAAAATGTGAGTAATTATACTTTTAAGTTCCACTAATATTTCTTGCTTTTAATATATTCATGCTTATAATTTTTACTATTAAAGCTTATATCAATGAAATTAAATCACATAAAATTCTTCATATCATTAGCATGAGGTATGCATATTAAATACTATTGTCTTAATAGTTCCATAAAAATTTATTTTAGAAAATATCAAATTATTGCATGACTCTTATGTTCTAATAAAGATATATATGTTAGCTTATGCCATATCAATGAAATTAAAATCATATAAAATTCTTCATATCATTAGTCATGAGGTATGCATATTACATATTGTTGCCTAGATAGTTCCATAATAATTTATTTCAAAAAGATATCAGATTATTGCATGACTACTAATCCTCCTTTTTTTCCTTTTAAAGCCCTAAATCCCTAAACTCACGCACCCGAGCTCTGCTTCCATTTCCTTCTCCCGTTTGCGTGTCCCGCTCTCCCCTTTCTCGATCTCGAGCCGACCGAGCCCCTTCGAGCCCCTTCTACTCCACGCGAGGGAGAGTTGACCTCTCATTCGTCCTTGTCCGACACTTTCTGCTCGAGACTCCCCCGAAGTTGCGCCTGCCTCTATGAGCTGTGATTTTCCTTTCTTGGTAGGTTGACTCTGATGAACTTGCTCCCTGGAACACTTGAGTGGCAACCTTCTCTTCTTCCCGATGCTTCTCTCCCTGCCACTCGGCTCGCCACTTGGTCCTTGGCACTTCGGTTGCCACGCCTGCGGTAAGGCAGAGGGGAGCGTTCTGTTCTTCTTTGACCCGATTCGAGTACCGGGGGGGATGGTTTCATTCTTCTTCCTTCTCTTCTCTGCCTATAAAATAGAGCTTCTTTTGGTTTTTGTGGTTGTTGAAAATTTCCTAAGGAGAGGGGAGGTAGAGAACTTTGCTTTTGAAGGATTTTAGAAGGAATATTTCTGTGGGAGCTTTACATTTGCATTAGAGAGGTATCTCTTCTTGCTTCCTTTTGGTTTTCTCTTTGTCGAGCCATTGAGCATGGCTCTGTTGGATGGTACAGCATGCTAGTTTACTTTACTTTCATGTATTTTGAGATATTCACCTTAAGAGTATGTGAAGAATAAAATATGGGCATATTCTAGGCTAGACTTGGTTACTTGCTTACAGTAGCGAAGCAATGACATGTTTGTGTTTATTGTAGCACATTTATGTTGGAAGCAATTAGGGGAGTTAAAACACGGCTTTGGAATAATTTTGCTCCTCTTACAGCATGTTGGGATATGTATTATGAAGTTTTTCATCTATTTTCATATAGCATGAGATATTAGAGAGTTTATTTGGCCTTTCATGAATGCTAGAGAGTTCAGTTTACTTTTTTATACATATATGGGGGTTTGGTTTAGCTCCTGCGGCTTTCCCTTACTTGAAATGCATGCCATGAGAAAATTTATTTAATTTGGAAAGCTTTGTAACTTGTTTTGAGATCTCCCCTGGTCAAGAATCTGTGGAATTGTTTCATGCTTGGAATATTTAGACATGCAGGTTGTTCCTTGGCTAGGTTGTTCCGCAGGTTGTTCCTTGGCTTTGGATGGCTCGTTTTTACCTTAAGGTGGCTGGGACTTTAATTTATGTTAAAGTCTGAATTTGTATCAATGTTTGGGTCCTGTTTTAGCCTTGTTGGGCTTGGTTTGGAGGCTTGGTTTTATCTTGAAATGGCTAGAACTTTAATTTCTATTGGAGCTTGGATTTTAATCTATGCTGGGCTCGGTTTTTGGCCCTTGTTGGGCTCAATTTTGGCTCTTGCTGGGCTCGGTTTGAAATCTTGAGGGTGTTTTGGCTTAAATATACATATAGTGAAGAAATTTATTTTTGATTTGGAGGAACTCCACCGCTGTTCTTGTTTAAAACATATGGTAGTTCTAGATTTTGATGTCTGGAGGGCATGGAGATTTTTTTTACTCTTTTGTTGTAACCTGAGTTTGAATCCCAGTTGTGGTTCGATTTGGCTCTAGTAGGGAGCTCGATTTGCTTTGTCTTGCCCTTACCCGAGAGGTGTTTTGGAGGTGGTTTTGCTGGCTTTGGTTTCTACTCCTACCCGTGAGACCTATTGGAGTTTCTTGAGTTTAATTTACCCCCTCTTGTTGAGTTTGAATCATTTGAATGAGTGTAGATGGATCAAACTTATTACTTTGAGAGATTGGTGATGTTTTGTACTCTCTTATGTATATCAAAACTTTTAGGGAAATGATTTGGGTTTGCCGTAGTCGTGAGCCTCACTTGTTGGTCTTGGGTTTGCCTTAGTTGTGAGCCTCACTTGTTGTTCCTTGGGTTTGCCTTAGCTGTGAGCCTCCTCTGCTCCTGTGCCTTGGGTTTGCCTTAGCCGTGAGCTTCTTTTGGTCTTGGGTTTGCCTTAGCCTTGAGCCTCACTTGTTGTTCCTTGGGTTGCCTTTGGCCATGGTCCTTAGCAGTTGTCCCTTGCTACCTTTGGCCGTGAGCCTTAGTGATTACCTCCCTTGTGGGTTGCTTTGGTCGAGAGCCTTAGCTGTTGTTTCCTCTATTCTATTGACCCTGGTAGTGAGCATTTATTTGGTTATATGGGAAGATTTTATGCTTATTTGATACATGAGGCTATTGATTAAATTGAAAGTTGGAGGACTCCAATTTCTTGCATGAGTTTGAGAGTACTAGTGTGGTATCCTCCGAGTTATTTTTCCCTTCGTATAGTTTGGGAGATTTCTAAGCCTCATTTTGGAAAAACATTTGGTTGACTTGATTAATCCTACGTCTTTAGGGTTTGAGAAAATCAGCACAAAGTGGCCCTTTATGTTTCTTATGAAAGGCCTTATGTCCTACTTTTCCAGGTCTTTTCGATAGAAGTTTTGAGAGCTGATCCATTCACCTTTTTTGTGTTTTAGATGGATCAGTGTCTCCTCTCTCTCACCCCATTTTTGTTCTTTTCTTTCCTTTCTTCTTGGTTTGTTCTTTTTTACGCTTATGTCTGATGCATAAGTGTTCACGTTAGCCTTTTGTTATACGTGAAACCATCAAGCAAGGTCACAAGTAGTCGTTTTGGGGCGTACGGTGGTGACGATAAAGGCACACCGAAGATGGAGCAGAAAGATGTCCTATCCTATAACATCAAGATCTATGTATTTGATGAAAAATAGGATAACGAAATCCTTCAACATAGGTATAGCGGGAGTTGGCTCGAACCTCCTCAGGTTGTTGGCAGTCCCATGCCCGATAGTGTAATTGACTCGTGGACAACAAAAATTTATAAAAAAAAAATAAGTTTTGATAAACCCTTTTCGAGCAAAAACATACTTTTCTACGAAACAAAAATTGATAACTCTTCTTTGCATGTTTAAAATTTGTATGCATGTTAAAAACATAAAACATACTTTAAAGCTGGTTCCTGACGTGACGAATACCTGTTTAGGCTGGGAAATAGTCCTCCAAGTGAGGTTCAAGACACACTTCTAGACGAGTGGTGGGTTCTATACATTTGGGTGACCAAGTATCCTTCGCGGACCCTCGAGTATAAATATATATTTGAGCCTAGCCCCATACAAGTGCTTGCGGTCCCCCTCACCCGAATTTTTTTTGTTTTGTTTTATCAAAGCTTTGGGACAGGGCACTCGTGTTACTTTTTCTTTCTTTCGGGATTTCTCCCAGATTTTTGTGGATTCTTTTTCTTTGCTTTTACTTGAGTCTTTTCTCGTTGATTTTCTCGAGTTTTCTGTCATGAGTCTTTGTTATACTCTTCTTCGGATATCCTGAACGACGTTTCTTCTAGACTTCGCTTTTTGCGATGCATTTCGATGCATTTAGAGCATTTAGACTTGCTATACTTAAGGAACAGTGGATCTCACGGGCGTACATGTTTGTTTTACATTTGACAGCACTTCATTTTCCTGTTTCTACCTGCTACTGTTATTTCTATACAGCATGTTATACTATTCTTGTTTCTACCTGCTATTGTACCGTACAACATGTTATACTATTCTTGTTTCTGTCTGCTATTGTTCTTCTTGTACAACATGTTATATTATTTATGTTTTTGTCTGCTACTGTTCTTCCTGTATAGCATGTTATACTACCTGCTACCGTACCGTACAACATGTTATACTATTCCTGTTTCTATTCGCTACTGTTCTACATGCATCCTACTGTTTGTCCTGTATTACACATTTTATATTATATAGCTTTAAGTATGTCTTCTTTTTTTACATAAGATGTTTAGAGGACTATTACCATAGGGTCGTTTGATTTGACATCATAACTGGACACCCTAGAAAACTTAAACTCGTCACGGCAAGGAGCTTGGAGCTAGCACGGTGGGCAGCAAGACCATCTTTAACAGCAGAACATGTCTTCCCCAGCAAAACCATTTCTTTTTCTAGAAATTAAACAAGCCATAGGATTTCGAGGTAGTCTGCTTAGCGCGACATAAATTCTCACTTTATCTGTTAGGTCTTT